ATTACAGTTCAGAATACTGTATTTTTAAAACAATTTCTCACATTGTACATGTTAAAACCTAAACTAAGTGACATTTACAAGCCAGTTTGTGTGTGTCATCCACAATTTGTCTGCTCCTCTTTGCATGGGGATTCGATGTTATGGATTTAATTCTTGGTCCAAGGCCACTGGTTTGTGTTACCAGCAGGTGGTGGTCAACTGCTCACTAATGGCCTCAGCCTGGCACTCTGCTCCAACCATCTGGGTCTGTCTGCTTTTATTTACACAGACAACTGGACTGCTTCTGCAGTAATGATGACAACATGCTGCTGCTGCACCAAACCGAGAGAAGCCAGCTGCATGGATTACACAAGGTAATGTCATGGTCCTCAGTCTGTCGACTCAGTGTTTTGTGTTTTTTATATTATTCTGTGTTCTTGTTTATTCTGTTATATCTTTTGTTAAGGTTTGCCATTTGTTAGGGTTTTGTTCTATGCCTGCCTGCTCCCACTTCTCCGTGTTCCCTCTCTGTCCATGGTGTCACAATGTATGCCCGTGAGTCTGTCTGTTAAGTTCAGTGTCTTGTCTGGTTCTCTGTGTATGTGAGTGTGTTCAGTTTACGTTTCCCCTGTCTCGTCAGCTCTGATTTCTCCCAGGTGTGTTCCCCTCCTGTCTCTCATCTCTTGATTATTGCTGTGTGTATTTAAGCCCTGTGTCTTCTCCTGCCTGTTGCAGTTATTTCCCTGCATAACCCTATGTTGGTTCCCTGAGTCTCCCTGCAGCGCCATTGCAGGTCTGCTTGTGTTAGTTTTTCCCAGTTTAGTTAATCTTAGGTTCAGCACTTGCCACCTCCTTTGCTGTTTGTTCTATCTCCGTCACAATAAAGCTCACTCTCATCAAAGTCAGTGCTTGCATCTTGGGTCCTACGCCCAACCTCCACTCGTCTGCCACTGCAGACGTGACAGGTAAGGGGAGTGGAGCAAAGGGTAATGGATCAAGAAAGCCTTAAAACAAAGGGCCTAATGACTGATTAAGGAATTTAAAGTTCCAATGAGAGAAGGATGAGGCAATATGTCGGTAGGGGGTCTGTGATACTCACTTCACTGGAGTCTTCCTGCTGGTTGATGACTGTTAATGCATCCTCAGAGGCTTGCCTCTTGGCTTCAGCCAGTGCCCTCTCCATTTTGGAGCGCTCGGCAGAAATCATCTCATGAGCCTTCCTCTCAGCGTCTGACACTGCTTTCTGCAGCTCCGACATCGCCTGTCGCTTCACCTCATTCACTGCCTCCTCTGAGAGAGAGAAAGAGAGAGAGTGTTAGTGCTTATGGCCATCGTCCCATCCAGCCTGCTCTGTCTGTCATCCTTTATTAAGGCTCTTTAAGCTGCCGTCTTGTTGTAACGCGGCAAACAGATGTACATCATCCAAGATTTAAAACTTTATGCCAGGAGAAGTGTGAAAAAAAGAAAAGAAACCAGACTTCAATAATTTATTCAAACACGTCTGGTCACAATCATTTTCAGAGCTGACAACAGCAGATGTCACCAACTCGGTTGTTCATCAAGCACCCTGAATGAATTGTCATCCTATCACAAGAACAGTTTTACCAGAAACTGACAAGAGTTTACAGTAAAGGGCGAATAATTTCCCCCCGCAGCCGGCACACATATCTCCACCGGCTGACTTCCTACAATGTAGGCTTCATCACATGGTCTTTTGTTTTTCCAGCAGGAGTCCACCATATGAGTAAGGAGGCTTTGTTTTTATAACAGGCAGGTGGGTAGACTCCTTTCCAGATGGCAGTCGAAAATAGAAACTTCCTGTAGTTCCTTCTCAGTAAGAAGCAGAAGTGATTACGTTTTGTGGTCTTTCATTACTGGCCTCGCAGCGCACAACATGTTTTCCCGTAGGACTTCATTCGCCTCGGAAATAGTTTGCCAAAAACACACTGTTTAGCATTCAAATGCTAATGTGGTATGTTGCGATGACAAGATGTGAATTCCTCTAACATATTTTCTACCAGCAAAGACAGCAATATTTTCATACATTGAATAATATTTCTCCAGATAACCCACATGACCCAATTATAGCAACGTGCGCACACGCATAAAGACACAAATGACACCCTAAAGTGGATTGCTAGGCGGGTTAGACGACGCAGTTCTCTCCCCTGCTCAACATTTCCTCCAGTCAATGTTTGTTTGAAGGGGAACTCATAAATAACTGTCACTTTTCCTCGCCGCTCCACTCCAGTTGTTTCAAACTACTGTGCAGAAAGATAGGGAGTGAGGGGGAGCCTTATCCACACTTTGCTGCTGTGTACATGCGCATGGCAGCGTGTGCATGGAGCTCTATGTGAGCTTGTGTGAATTCAGCGCTCTTGTGATAAAAGAAAGTTTGCATTCTGTCAACACTGTACACATATAGTTACACTTAAGGCACACGTGTCTGTCCTGTCCCACATCCTGTCATTCCCTCACTACCTTCATTTTATTCCTACTCTCCCCCCCCCCTCCCTACACCCCTCCTTCTCCTCCTCTTCTTTCTTCTCTACCTTGCAAACACTATCTGCATTATTCCAAGCTTCTCAATTATCTGGCCTAATGCATGCACCACTAAGATTAGTTTGCAAATTTAATTAATTCTTATCAAGGAGACTGCATAGCAGATGCTGGGGCAATTAGCACTTAATGGAAAACACGGGGGCGGCAATATTAACGTTTTAATTCTGCAGGGATTTGGCAAGTCCCTGAGATGTGTTATTTCTGTCTGCTTTTTCACACTTCAGATCTTATTTTTCAAAAGCAATGCAGTCTCTCAATGTGAACCAGACCAGAGAACACGTGTCTGGTTTTAATTAAAAAAAGCGAGAGGTGCCGCAGCTACATCAGCACAGACTACCAGGGTGCTGAGATAGAGCTGACACTTATGCACATACACGCACACAAACATTGGAGGTGAGATGCTGGGAGTGAGATATGTTACTCACCCTGCTTGTTTTGGAGGTGCTTTAGTGCTGGGGAGAGCGGGATGCTTGTAGTACCTGTATGAAAAACAACTGCAATTAAAAGAGCCTTTTGCTGCCGGTGAAAATGCAGCACAGTATTTTGCAGACAGCAGCAGCATCTATTCCTCCGCAGGGTATTGGAGTATGAGTGCAGAATAATGGTGCTGGGACTGAGGTGGAACAAGGGCTGAACCAGACCGCTCCCGGGACAGGCTCTATCTAACATGCAGGTCCCATGCGGTGCAACGCTCCCACCTGCTTCCTTTTGGCAAAATTAGCCAAAAATAAAGCTTTTTTTGGATTTCTTCTTCTTTTGTCTCTATATCTCAGCAGTTTGTTTCTTATTCCCTTCAGTCAAAGGTCTGTGTATGAAATGTGAGTGGAAAAAGTGGGATAAAAATTCAAGTGCTCCCGATGATGGAGACCAGTTAAAACTCCACCTTGTGCTGTGCTGTGCTGCCGCGGCCTACCGTAGGCCCACTGACTGCATTTTCACTGCAGCTTTAACTGCAGTGGCCTTTCATGGTGGTGACAGATGGAGGGCATTTATCCTAATGACACAGAGGACGTCCAATCCTCTGGCCTGATGGACCTACAGCTGTAAGGCCTCTGCTCTGTCTGTCTGTCTGCAGCCGGGGTGAGGGCCGTGAAGAATGACGACAGTGTTTGTGTGTGTGTTTTGTTAGTCTGTGTGAGGGCAATCACGGAGACAATAGAAAGAAGAAGAAGAAGGAAGATGCTCGACTCTTACCAGCTTTCCTCCAGATTTCTTCCGGGAGGTATCCTGAGGGAGGCCTGTGTAAGAAGTCTCGATGGATCTCTGAAACACACACGCAGGCTCACACTCAGTGTCAATTGCATGCACACGGAGACAAACTGTTGATCTGCTCGAACACACATCCATCCATGACTGCCCTACAGTTTCCAGTTCTATTTTTGGAATCGATAAAAAGGTATAAAAAGGTAAAATGTGTGTATATATATATGTGGCAACATCAGTACAGTAAACAGGCTGCCATAGACTTTCTCCAACTATTTGTGGGAAGGAAGTGGAATATGGGAGCTAGACGTGAATACAAATCTTAATTACGAATGAGCATGCTGTCGACATAAGGGTGCAATCAGCTGGTTAAAGATCCAGGATATTGCAAGGAGATGTTTTGTATGCCTCACAGTTTGAGCTAAAATTTGTAAATCTGCTGTAAATATCATCATCTGACTGACTCTCTGTGTCTAAATTGATATATTACGGCGTTTCCAGCATTTTAAGTAAGCCCTACCTTGCTGTGAGTGTTTTGCTTTGCCAAACATACCCTGCGTGTGTTTGTCTACCTGTCTGTCTGCCTGTCTGCCTTTCAGCAGCCGAGGAAGTTCCTACGGGCAGTGACTCGCTGCTGCTAGCTGTGTTGGAGGAGGAGTTGTGGTGAGGAGGAGGAAGAGGAGGAGGAGGAAGGCAGTGCTGTCCGTTGCTCCCACCTTTTTTCATCTCCTCCACGTCACTGTAGCGCCGGATCCAGTGATTCATCTCCTCCCGGTCGGCCTCCTGGCAGCGGCGCAGCACTGTCAAAGAGCGCCTTGTCTTCTCTACCATGTCCATGATGCAGTTGAGGAGCTGCAAAGGCAAATGATATTTACTCAAAGTGATTAATGAACAAGAGGAGACGTTTACTGGTCCCCTCCGCCCCAGAAAAAAAGTAAACTAATGGGAGGGAAGTTTCAAATGAGAGGTTTTGAAAGGGACCAGATTTTTAAATAGATTGTTTTTCCTAATAGCTCATGAGAACAAAACCTCTCCAAAACTTAAGAGCCACTTTTCGAGCCACTTTTCCTGTCCCAAAACCAGACGTGTGCTTGCGAGCAGTATGTGTTAGTGTCTCGACCTATTTGTTCATGAATTCCGTGCTTGTTGGTGAACGTCTGACAGCATTACGATGACGCAACGATGATAATTTAACAGCTGGGCTGCTGATGACAGTGTTGAACCGATTCCTTCTACCCTTCTGCTCTGCTCCTTGCCAGCTCAACAGATTTCCTTCCCCCTCCACCTCCCCCTTTATTGTAACCAGTGTAACTGTTTTCCAAAGTGCCCTGTCTTTCCAGACATAGAAAGATCTGCTAAATGGGTTTAGCATGGTTGACATTCAATCTATATCATTATTCCCATTCGTCTTTCCCTCTCTCCATCTCTGACTTCTTTCCCCTGCCTCTCCACCACCTCCCTCCCCTCTGAGTTAGCTATATTTATTTCAGTGAAGTGTTTCTAATTTGGCAGGGGTCCAGGCCTGGCCGGTTTCTCTCCATGACTGCAGCTCTTGTCTCAGCTGCTCACCCCAGCTGGAGCTGCTCTCTGCTGGGTCCTGAGCTCCATCTGGGGCCCTGTTTCTCTCTCTCTCTCTGTGTGTTTCTCACTCTTGCATTGTGTGTGCATGTATGTGTTTCTAGCCTACATGGTTTCTCATAGAGTTGAGTGCTAGGAATCCAGATAGGTGTGTGTCTGTTGTTAATTCACCGCACTGACGCAGACCTCGTAAGGTCAACTGTCTGTCAGCAGCTCCTGTCCCTGTCATCTGCATGCCGTCAATTGCACTAAAACAAACTTTCATCACCCGCTGACCTCTTAGCTCCCCCCCGGCATTGTTTTAATTTGAATGAAGTAAAGAGGTGGTTGTCATTAAACACAGCTGCTTTGCAGATTCGTACATTATCGAGGTGCTTCCATTCCTCTGCCCACTCTCGATCTGTAAGACGGTGATCAATCACTTCCTCTTGGCGAGCTCCGTGGACTGCTATAAAAAAAGAAACCCACAAACACAAAGAAGTTTGTGCCACATTATTGTCATGTAGACTTCTCACATCATCAACTCATTTTTTTAAAATAACTGTGTCGACATAATGAAATAAACTCCCTGACTTATTTCTTAGGCCTTACTAGCTATGTCAGTATGGCAGCAGTTGTTAGCTTTGTCCATTAGCTGAGCGCACTGCTTTAATTTTCTTGTTTTTTGATTTTTTATATTTCCTTTACAACTCCTGCTGTATGCATTTTAATGTAAGTCCCATAATAAAGCATATAAAGACGCCGAATTATACAAATTTAGCACAAATCAAATTAGAAGAGTCACTGAAACACGCTCTAACATTGTCTATACATTGTTTATAATAAAACACACGCTCATATCTAATCAGTGAGATTGTTTGTATAAGAACCAGAAGGAAGGCATGTATGGTTGCTGCAGGTGACCACATGGGCATGTACGGCTGTGGTCTTTTTATAGACCCAGTGCCACAAGGATTATCACACTGGACTGACAGGTGGCCTTTGTTCTCTACATACACCCCATTTATATACACTGAAGCTCGCTCGGTCTTGACCGTGAAACTGTGTGTAGTGTCACTGTGGTATTACTGACTTATCTAACCAAATGAATGCTTTGCAGCTGTTCTACCTGTCTGCCGGTGCCTGTCACGGACTTCGCGGTGTTCGTTATGCCTGTAAGCATCTCTGTATTGGTGTGCCAGAGCCATGTCTTCTAAACGATAGTGCTGGGGTCCCACTTGGGGGTTTGGTGGGTGGGGGATGCCATTGGGAGGGTGTGTGGGGAGTCCATTGAGAGGAGGGTGAGCAGGAAGACCCGTGCTGGGGCTGAAGCGTTGGCTGGGGCTGATGGTGCAGGGCCTCTTAGCCAGGTGCTCCGGGTGCAACCCATCTCTCTCAGAGCTGTCTTTGGTCCTGTGAAAGAGGACAGGGTGGTGGATTAATTCAGTGTTTCTGAGCCCAGATGGCTTGGAAACGGTGATTTAGCGGCATAGCCACAAATTATTTTGCTTTTTTCCTTTTTTGGATGTCATCAGTGGTAAAGTAATTGCAAATGTATCCTATTTAAAGTTAAGTTTAGAGAGCTTTAAACCTTTAAAACTTTTTCCAATGTTATCTCAAGTGTCATAATACTTAAAAATACACAAAACTCATTATTATTCATCTCATATATATCTATATCTATATATCTATATATCTAT